GCAGCCCCACCCGGTTATTCTTCTTCCACTTCTTCGCCGCACAACCCTCGCTGCTTTGTGTACCATTGACATCAAGCGTACGATGGGAGTATAAGAACGAGCGGCATCTGCGGGGACGGAGTGCGGCAGGAGACGACCCGTGCGGAGGAGCAACCTGAGTTGGTTGCATGGGAGGGATATTCAATTGGCGGGTAGGGAGGAATTAGAGTGGAATGATTGATTAGTGGGATGCAAGTGCGCTCAATGTGGTTGGTGGCTTGGTGCTTAACATTGGGATGTTTTCGACTGTCAGATAGTGTGGATAGACGGTCGAGATTGTTTGGATCTGCCATCACTCGTGCTTTCAATACATATATATAACATAAGTGAAAATTAAACTTTACCTCTTATATTGATCAGTGACTCCTCCACGTTTCGGAGTCGAACATGCCAAAGAGATGGAGAAGATGTACCTGGCATGCGGGAAGCTTTGTTGTTTGGCTCCAGCCGTGCCATCTTATTCCAGTTGCTTTATGCTTAGTAATGTCATCTTTTCCTGAAAGATTGTGCCTACATGCTTAGTAGTACTCCCTCTAAAGTTAGTATAAAATTATGTCATCTATTTTAAAACAGAGGGAGTAATTTTTTGGGGCATTTATTGTGCTTAGTGATTTTAACAACCCAGAAAAAGTAAAAAATTAAATTGACGGGCTGTTGTAGGCCAGCTTCAGCTTTTGCATTGCTGTCCACCAAAAGGCAAAAGGCCTGCAAGGAGGCCTAGCACCCGGCCGGCCTGGCCAACGATTTGACGTGAACGCGGGCCAATATCAAAGCTGCAAACCTGAGCTTGTGACCAGCCTTTTTCAAAAGGTAATTTGGGATTATTACTTAACATAACATGATTGTCTCAAAAAAACTTAACATAACATGATTCCCTTAAAAAAAATCTTAACATGAAGTCCACACGATATTGTCAACCAAAATACATCCGTGCCAAATCAGTGCAAGTCGCAACTGTTGGTGTTTTCAAAGTTTTGTTTTGTGAACCTCACTACGCAGTTGTCAGAAAATGTTTTTCCCCGTTGATTTTTTCTTGATTTTTTTTAAAAGGTAAGACTGAATATCCAAAAGTATTTTTTCTTGATTTAAAAAAAGGCAAAACTGAATATTCAAACTAGGGTTTGAGATGAGATCGTGTTGTTGAAGATGTTGATGAAGATTGACCTTCCAAAGATGATAGGGTTGTTGGTGATGACGATGGCTTCGATTTCCTCCTTCCGGAGGGAATTTTCCCCGGCAGAATCGCTTCACAGGAGGGCAAAAGTGCCCCTGCCCAAATTCGGCCTCGAGACGGCGGCGTTCCTCCTGAAAGTCCTCTCTTTATTCTGCTCTTGGATCCTTCCATCTCTCATGCCGAAAATCAAGTATGTGATCAAGCAAAGGTGACAGAGATTGGGCTCCGTACGGTGTGCTTCTCGGACACCCACCGCAGTGCACCCTGCACCGCCCTCGTAGCACTCTGCCTCGGCCACAAGTATACCGAGAAAGTCAGCTCCTGGCCCTCCTCGACGAAATCAAGCTCCCTCGGAAATACGTCCATGCTTACGGCGCTGCTCGGCATGTCGATCGCCGCGTAGTACACCGAAGGCACCTCCCCGACGTTCTTCACCTTGCGCCTGACGACCACGGGCGCAGTTGAATTCCAGGAAGCTGGGAAAGCGACCGAGATCGAAGGGTAATTCAGCAGGCGGTCGCTGATGACGACGGTGGTCAAGCAGTCAATCGGCCGGCGCGCGATCACCGAGACCTGCTGGCTCGTGTACATGCTACAGAGGTAGCCGACGTAATCCTCGGGGGTGATGTCGTAGACTAGGCCAGGGTCAGCAGCCTTCATTGGGTTGACGTGTCCGGCGCCGGTGGCGAAGAGGTTGGCCACCACACGCTGCTCGTTGAGTATGGGATTGCCGGAGCGGTCGGTGATGTCGGTTGTCGTCATCATTGCCGACTTGATCGCCGCCGGTGACCAGTCCGGGCGCTTGCTCTTGATCAAAGCGGCGATGCCGGCAAGGTGCGGTGTGGACATGGATGTGCCGGAGATGATGTTGAAGGTCGGCCCAGGGAGGACCGGCGCCGACGGTGGGCCGACCTGAAACGGCCATGCCGCGAGCACGTTCACTCCGGGGCCCGTGATGTCGGGCTTCAGAATGCCAGTGCTCTGACGGTTAGGCCCCCGAGACGAGAAGAACACGATCGACGGAGCAGGTGACGTGCCGAGTAATGTACCCCTGAAGCCCATACGCGCCATCGGGTTCGCCGTGGAGTTAAGGTAGGATTTGATGGCTGCGGTCGCGAGGTAGTCGACGCTCGACGCCGGGAGGATGTTCTCCTGGGCTAACTTGTCGTACCCTCGGAAAAACGGGCTCGCCAAGATCATGGCGACGCCGCCGGCACTCTCCACCACCTCACCTTGGTTGATCACCGAGATGTTTTTCGTGAGTTCACACAGCACTATCTTGCCCTTGACGTCGAAGCCGTCCAGACTGCCGTTTCCGCAGAACTCGGCGAATGGCTTCCCACTCGCGCCCGCATAGACCAACGGGCAGAAGCCAACGTTTGGCTGGTATAGCGACTCGCCGTGGAAATACGCACCGTTCCCCAGCTGCACGGTCGAACGAATCGAGCGGTCCATGGTACTCGCGGCGACGGTGAGCATCCATGGAGCCTCGTTTATCACGGTGCTCTCTCCCGGGCCGGAGTTGCCAGCAGCCATGCTCACAAAAATGCCCTTCTCCATGGCGCCGAACGTCCCGACGGCCATAGGGTTTAGGTGAAAGGGCACCGAGGGCCCGCCGAGAGACATGGAGATGACGTCGCAGCCGTCGCCCACGGCGGCGTCAATGCCAGCCAGTATGTCGGCATCCTCGCAGTCTACAAAAACTTTTCCGTAGCACACCTTGTACATGGCGATGTGCGCGCGGACTGCCATCCCGGCGGCGGTGCCCCATGCGTGGCCGAGCACGTTAGCGCCCGGCACGACCGCCCCAGCGGCGGTGCTTGCCGTGTGAGTCCCGTGCCCAAACTCATCGACCGGCGGCACCCGCGCGGAAGTGCCGTTCGGGCCGTTGAGGGCGGCGACCATGTTGCGCGCGCCGATGAGCTTATTGTTGCACGAGGTGCCGCTGAAGTCGCAGCGCCCCTTCCACTTGGCCGGCGGCGGCGGCATGCCTTCGTCGCTGAAGGACGGGTGGTCCGGGAAGATGCCGGTGTCGATCACACCGACGATGACCCCGGCGCCGAACTCCGACGTGTAGTTCCGCCGCCCCTGCTCGACGTTCAGCCCCAGGAACTCGGGCGTGTGCGTCGTCAGCGTCGTGTACGTCCGGGCACGGGTCGCGCTGAGGAACCCCGGCATGGCGGACAACGCCTCAAGCTCACGCCGCGTCAGCCGGGCCGCGAACCCGCTCGCGACGTGGTGGTACGCGTGCACGAGCCGGCCATGGTCCGGGAGGAACGAGTGGTACCACGCCTTCCGGCCGTCCGCGGTGCCGAACACGCGGTTCTCCTCTGCTTGCACGTGGACGATGTACGTGCTAAGCTCGCCGCCGGTTGCCTCGGCAGCGATCGCGAGGAGAAGGAACGGAAGAAGAGAGAG